CTAGATAGACAAGAATGAAGTTCTTTCTAGCTATTCTGGTTTATCACCCATGGAACCGTTTTTAGCAGATAGAATTTTTGGATGTTGTTGGATCTGAGACGATTTAATAGTTTAATCCTAAGTATACAAAGAGGTAAATCAAAGCACGAAAGACTAATAAGTCACTTACCCTAGATTCATTTGTGAGAATAATTAAAACGAATTGAAATTTTTACAGATCTTCTTCTTCTTCTGTTTTTTTTTTTTTTTTTTTTTTTTTTTTTTTTTTTTTTTTTTTGGCTTTTAAACTAAACTAAGAAATGTACAACTTCACTTTTCCCCAGGCCAGGGAAATCCTATCCAGTCCACTGTTTTCAAACCAGTCAGTGAAACGACGGCGGGGTGTCCAGGTCTGCCAGTTTCCTCTCCCCGGTCTCTTCTCCTCCTCTAAATCCAACACAACAGCTAACGTTTTTGTGATAATTATTCTTTATCATGATTTCTGCAAAATGCTTGACATGCCTTACCACATTTGCTCCATAGGACAACCCCATGAGAGAGATCACTATTACCATTTTGCAGGTGAGAATACTGAGACTCAAAGAAACTTAATAAATCCCACAGGGTCACAAAGAATTTCTAAATGTCTGATACTGCAGTGTACTAAAAGTCAGCCTGACACCAAAGTTTGCCCCCGTACCATGGATCTGGGCCAGGTATCTGTGCCAACAACTTCTTTAATATTTAGAATGATGGAGTCATAATATTAAAAATCTAGAAATGGTGTTAGATACTCTCTGGTTTTCATAAGTCATTTGAAAGAAACACAAAGTGAGTTTTTTGGAAACAAGCGAATCAGCTTCTCCTGGATTTAACATTCTTATAGCTTTTTATATATTTTTCTATATCACATAATAAAGTGCTTTTCTTAGTGTACATACTTAATAAATATGGATGACACTCTCTCATGAATTCTTCCATAAATATATACAACCATAAAACACATGCATATGCATATATGTAGATCAATGTCTAGTCTATCTATCTCCAATATTATAGGCCATTGGAATAACACCCCACCTGTCAAAACAGAGCAAAAGAACCACGGTTTGGAGAGAGTTCCAGTGTCATTACCACTGGCATGGGAGAATGCATGAGTATCCTCTAATGACTGACTGTCAGGGCCTCCTCTCGTCTCAGCACCCAGTTTAAACAGTACTCAGCCAGCTGCCTGCAGATTCTGCCAACACTGCGTGTCAATGCAGAAGTCTGATTGCCCAGATGGTTATTTCTAGGCCCTGGATCAAAAATAGTGACTGAGCATGGGTTGCAAGCACACCAACCCCACCGGCTGGAGGCTTCCCGCTTTCTTCTTGGATCCCGCCTCTGTGCAGAGTGAACCCATAGATGGTGGCTATTTTGGTTAACTCCTGCTAGGGATAGAGAGGAAAACAGTTGTCCAAATTGCTGGGGACAACTTCTGTAAGCATGTATCCTCGGATCTACTGCCGCCTTCCTCCTTTCCTGTCACCAATTGTACACGGAGCACCCGCCCTGCAAACTCCTTTGAACAAGTGTCTTTCACTCCTTTCTGTATTCCCCGTGCACCAGCACAGTGGCATTGCACTTGAAACGCAAAATAAAGACCTGGTGAACTGTCACAGGCACAGTCCAAGCAGACCAGACGAGCTTCCAGGGCCCGGAGGGAGAACAGTGGAAGAAGTCCAGGTTTGGGACTTGGCCTTGGTCTGCGTCCAGGTAAGAAACTGACAGCCTATTGCACAGAGATCAGATCTCTAGGGCGGTGCTTTCCAGCAACTCGACTCGTGGCGAGGAATAGAACAGCCGTCAAGATGTCAACAACAAAGGCACGGCCAATTCTGAATGTCTTTTATTAGGAGCTCTCTCTGGGGAGGAGTGAGAGAGAAGGCCTAGGACCCCAGCTTTGCCGTGGCTGTTGGGAGCTCCTCCCAAGGATGCCTCGGGAGAGATGATTTCCATAATGCTGAAGGGCACCTCTTTTCCTGCAAATTCGGTCAATTCAGATGGCCATCCGTCTTTCCTGGTGCTATTTCAACCAGCAGACATGGAACTGAAGAGTGCAGAGCTTGCTTTGTGTTTTCTGGTTCTTTCCTCCACCAGGTTCCTTCCTAATCCCTCTGTTCCCACAGGCAGAGACTCTTCACAGGGTAAAGCTGTGCACTTCAGTCTCAGCACTTTCTCTACATTTGGGATAATGGGGCTCGGCCACCCTGACCTTGGAGTGCAGCACCCAGTCGCCATGAGCAGGAGGCCTAAGGTGGAGCCCACGGACTTCCCGTTGCTCTGCGGATCCGTATTGGCCTGGTGAGGGGCGTGCGGGTTCCAGAGGCAGAGGGACAGCCTATCATCTCAAAAGGATGATAGATCAGGGTTAGGCTGAACAGTGGGAAACATTTAGAGACCGAGAGAAAGAGTGCATTCATGGCCGACATGAAAGGGGCCATTCCTTGGCAGAACATGAAACAGCATCTGTGGCCCAACTCTGGTTCTGAGCTGCTCTGCCGGGCATTCTTTGTGGCCCAAGGGTGGCAGCTTTACTCAGGCCTTTGAGGACATGAAATGATGACAGACGACGGTCCTGTGCCAAGAAGCCAGAGAAAAGTCACATTTTGATGTGCAACTGCTTGGTTCTCGGCCATCTGAAAGTACAGAGAGGTGGCTGTCAGTGACATCGAATGAACTGCCTTGGTAGCACCAGGTAATTGATTTCCAGTTCTTACCCTGCTCTGTCACAGAGTGGGAAGAGTGCAGGACCAGAGCTGTCTGGCTTCCAGGAGAAGATAAACCCCGTGTGCATGATGGACCCCAGGTGTGCGCCCGTGGGCTCCCTGCCCTTCTGTCTGGCACTGTGCCCTGTCCCAGTGACTTTCTAGAGTGATGCGTTGGCTTTTTCTGTGTGGAATATTCATACCAACGAAGCCCCGAAAATTCCTACTCAACTCACATACTGAGAGCGGTAGCTCATCTTCGTCGGTACTTTTTTACATGATAATTTTAGGTATAAAACAGAGCAAGCCAAGACCAGAATCTTAGTCAGGCCTGGAATCAAAGAACTGAATGACGGAGGTCACCTAGCACTCGTCGATCATTAACAAAGCTTTTAACACTCAGCTGATTCTAAGTCCTATTAGAAACAGAACCATGAACATTTTCAATGACCAAGGTCACTCTCGTTTGTCTAACATAGAAAACAGTAAGCATGAAAGACATGCGTACTTCACTATTTCATATTTATTCACCAATCTTCTCAGATAGGTCTGATTCAAGACCTAGTAACATTTTTTTTCCTCCAGTTATGAGGTAACTAATAGATACCAGCCATGCCATAAAAAAATTGACTTTGTTTTACCACAAGTAGATTTTATGGCTTGCTCTTTTGATGTCTGAACCATGTCATATGCCGCGAGCGCTTTGTGTCTGTTTATAGTCCCTATGTACGCGCTTAATGAGTGGCCAGCTTTTACTTCCTTTAAGGAGCGCTAACAGTAAAACATTGATCTACACACTGAAAAGTTCACTTAAGCATATTCTGTTTTTCCAAAGAGGCAAAGGCCAGTGGTCCTTGTGATTTACTGTTGGTTCCAGAAATCTCTCTGTTATCGAAAACTACAGCTCCGCTTACTCACAGGAGATCACAGGATGAGAGACGGCCACTTAGTTCAAGCCAGGAACGTCCAGGGCGGATCTGACTCTGGTGGTTCTCAAGATGAAGAAGTCAAGTGCAGCCCGTGGATTAATCCCGAGACTTCACTGATGGTCTTGGTTTCATTTGATGACCTTAATTTCATCCTCACTTCATTTGGGCGTCTCTGAGATAGGGCAGCAGGTGGGAAAACTTACTGAAGAGGAAGATCTTGGGGAAGACTTGCCTTGGTGGAAAAGCGCCATCTTTGTTAATTGCCCTGAGGCAGCTGCAGTGGGGTACCCAGCTTCTGGCTCCTGCTCTTCACAGACCAGCTATTTCCTCATCTCTCCCTACTCTTCCACCTGTGGATCCTATAATGAATTCAGAATCAAAAGTATATAAGAGAAAAGCTAACGCTCTGCACCGTGGCCTAAGTTTATTAGGAAAAACTAAAATATTTGAAAGTTTCAAATCTTCTGAAAAGAACTTACTATAAGCAATGAAAAAATAAATAAATATTAGAACGAGTGATGCGAAAGAAGGGAAATTTGGGGACAATCTGCCACCTTTTTGAATAGTAAATAATTTTATTTTACTCCAACAACACTTGGTCCATTGTGGTCCTTTTTGGAGACTTTTGGGGTATTGTTACAATGTGGATTAGAGTGGACATTTATATTTAATTTATGAATGAAAGTATTTTTAAATATCATATGTATACTTAACTGAGATGTTACGTTACAAAATATCATCATTTCATAGTGAAATTTCAAAATAAGCAAAACTATGTATTTGCCCCACTTTGTCAGGTCTCATTAGTTCAGGGCTCTGGATGGAAGCCGCTTTGTGTGCTAGCTTTCAGAAGAATACCATCTCAGGACAGAATGTCGGGTACTAGTCTCACTCCAAAACTCAAGTTGGAAGGATTTTTCCCCAGCCAGGTTGCACACTGAGGTCTACACTGTGCCCAGTGTGTACTCTTCGTTCATTTCAGTTATGTCTCTGCATGTGGGAGAAACCCAGGACTGCCTCTTGATTCCTGGGGACCACCCTGACGGTTGCCACGGTTGGTGGTGTGGTTCGTTGGGCTTCAACACCGATTGCTATTGCCTGGCCAACAGGGTTGGATCAAGCTCCTGTGGTGTCGCCCAGTTTAGCAACAGTGTAGCACTTATTTACCTTAATCCTAAAGTACTGTGTTTTGGTCATTGACTAGAAAGCAGGCTATGCCTACTCACCCAAACCAATCGCTAACTTTAAAGTCAAACTTCAGAGTAGAGAAGCTCCAGGTCAACCTCCAAGATGTAGAACAAATGCATCTGACCCCCAAAAAGAAAAAAGAAAGTAAAATAGCTAACGATTTGAATTGCATTTATTCATCATATTTTGTAGTGGTTTGCTCCGTGTAAACACATGCCTTTAAAGTCATTCATTAGCACCCAACATCTTCAGGAATATTTCTTTGAGATGACAAACTCTCCTGAAGCTTTGATAGCTCCTCTTCTGGAAAATGCCAAATGCAGGAGGTGGTCTTAGAGTTCTTTTTGAAACTGAGAACACACCATATACGTGGACCGTTGGTGGTCCTCAGGTGCCTCCCAGACTTCCTGTAGCAACCAAAGCACAGCCAGATACGGGAAAAGCCCAGACTTTGCTTCTCTGCTGTATTTGGATAATATTTCCCCCCCTAGAAATCTCTTTATTCTGGCAGAAAAGATCAATTGGAATCATGGCTTCAGTGTCAGCTTTTCTTGGAAAAGCTGTAGTACATGAGCACTCCCCCCCCCACACACACACATACTTGCTATTTGCTTTCTTCTTTGCCAAAATGTTCACTATCTCACGGGCAAAACCTTTCTCTTCCTTGTTCCTGAAATAAAATTCTTTGTTGTTGCTGTTCATCCTTTCCTTCAAAATATCAATTTGAAAAAATTCCACTACTCTTCTGAAACAATGACTCTCTTTAAACTAAATCATAATATTTACTAAAAAAAAGGCACTGCAGTTGACAGATTGGGACACTAAATAAGGGAAGGAACCACTTCAAAGCGGTATGTGTAGAAGGCAATTGGTGAGCATCCTGCCTGAAATTAAAAGCGCCTGTGCCCATAACAGAGTTCAGAAACACCAAGTACTGCAGGCCCCTCTCTACCTGGAGTCTGCATTCCACAACAACAAAGCAAACCAGCCACGAGAAGGCTGTCAGACTCAAGCACCTAACAGTGCTGCAGGATTACGGAATCTAGGGCTCTCCTGGTACTGCAACCGAGACAGGTTTCCAACCGTGTGAGAGGAGTCTCCCCGACCTCTTTGGGTCACATCTCTAGATGGGTAAGGAGTCCAAATAGAGATGGTCACCAGGATAAATCGTCAGACTCCGGGTTTGCATCACAGGGTAACAGATGAAAACATTGTCTATTTTTATGAAGCCAGACATGGTTGCCTAAATAGTGCCACATACACTAACTCTCTCCTTCTCTCTCCCCGCATCTCTGGATATCCATGGCACTCGGTTCACCTTGAGTACGTTACACACATATTGCAGATTCTCAGGTGCTGGAGTACTTGAAACTGGTATCTGTCTTCATTTTTTTGAAATATAATTTTACGTAAAATTATTAAAACACGTAAAGTATCATGCTAAGAAGGTGCCATGTAGTTTCTTTAAATAAATTATAGTTTAGCAATACATTTAAGTGCTGAGGTTCAAACTTGGGCAGCATGAAATGAAAAGAGGCTAAAACATATTGTATAACAAAAGATTGATGTGGCAGTGGATTTATTCTACAGCAGGAGTTCTCAAAATGTGATCAGAGGAACTTCAAGGTCCCCAAGACTCAGGATCCATGAGACCCGAACGACTCTCATAAATGAACTGGGACGTGAAGTTTCCTATTTCACTCTCCTTGTGTCACAAATGTCCAGGAGGGTTTTCTAGGTGATTTGTGATGTGGGTGATCATGGCAGCCTGAATAAAGAAGCGAATCTAAGAAAGCAACTGTCTTCTATTGAACCAGACAGTGAAGGAATTTGTGAAAATGTTGACAAATGCCAATTCTTATGAAAATGTTATTTTTCATAAAAATATGCTGTGATTGTTGGTATGTAATGGAATTATTACTTTTAGACGAGCTGGTAACATGAAGTATATTAACATGAGGTTCAGCAAAACAAGATTGGCAGGCATCGCTGTGCCGGTCACCAGGGCACTTCCAGAGCCACACCAACTGAGCTGAACCCTCATCTAATGTCTGCCCTTGTGCCAGAAGATGCTCAAGTTCTTTGACCTCGCTCCAGCTTAGTTAGCTCACTCTTAAATTAGGAATGAAAATTGTACCTTCCAAACTTGATATTATGCAGAACAATTAGGCTAACACTTGTTAAAATCTTGGGACTAAACTGAGCATGTAATAAATGCTACATAAAGATCACTAATAAAATATCATCTGATCTCATCTGCTGTACAAAACAGTGCAGGGATAAACACGACTCAATTTTCAGGGAAAACATGCCAGACTGCACAATTGTGCTCTTTAAGTATGTCCAGAATCAAGGACTCTGTAAATTCCCCATGTTATTCCCACAGCTAAAAGTTAAGAGTGGCGGGTTAAACATGAGTGACAATCGCAAACAGGCTGGTCACACGGAGAGCAGAAAGACAGCGAAGCCCAGCTCAGACTACACAGCTCACGGACACCAGAAAACCACAGAGAAACTCAAGCATCTCCGGCTGACGAACGACCAGACCAGCACTTAAAACTGTCCAACCAACCTGGCAGAAGATGGAAAGTCGGGCCAGGCCATCCAATTTCTATTTGTTTTTAAATCAGATGAAAGCTGACATAATTTCCCAAATATGGCTAGTATCATTTCAGTAGTGTCCTTACAATTCTAGTTACTCTTTAAAAGTGCCCTAAAAGACAAAAGCAAAGAAATTAGACAACTTCTAGAACATTCTTTCATCCATTTTTCTGCAGTTTCACACGGATTGATTTGTCAACTCTTATTTTCCAATAAGATGAAATTCCCATTGTACTCACTATATCCTAAGTCCTCAAGAGGTGGACACCACGGAGAAGGGACAGACAGTGCTTATGGACATTGGAGTGTGCTTAGCACCCTCCAGGACAGTGCTCCTTGTGCGGGGAAGAAGATCCCAGTCCTGGAGCTTTCTCAAAATGAACCACATCGCCTGACTTCCAATGTGCACTCCGTACATAACAGCTCTTTGAAAACAGTAGGGCTTAAGATCTGAAAGAAACAGGAAGGGGAAAGTTGACGCACATACATACTTAGGAAAAATTCAAACTTTGAGATCCAAAATAACAAAATAGTTGAATGATTAAACTCCAGCAGGCACTGTCTCCCAGTGGGTGTTCAGGCAGGTGAACTCCAGGTACAGGAAATCCAGCTGTGAGGATCCTCAAAGGCCATTCAACACTGAATGTTGTTCCAACTGGGTTCTCCTTGTGGTGACCTGTGGTGACCTGTGGTGCTTGGGGACAGCACCCACAGTAACTTGGGAAGGTATCAAGGGGTCTGCACGGAGCAGCTGCTCACCCCATGGTCCTGTCCTGCGGTCCACACAGCTCCTGCCTCCGCCTTAGCCTATGGCCACCCTGAGACTGCTTTCTGATGTAGCTTCATTTCAATGTGAAGCTAGAGAACTGTCAGTCATCTTTCCTGCCCTGTTCATCAGGGACATCAAAGCAGACTGAACCTGTCGCTCTGACACTGCGTGATGGAAAGGTCCATCTGACAAAGTGACATCACAGAACCACAGAACCGAGGGCATTCCACCCTCCCTAACTTTACGCCTACTCTTAAACCAGGCCAGCTAGACCTGAAGCTCACTGCATTTCCCTTGGCCTTACCAGTAGTCTGGAAAGCAGGGTGGGCCCCCAAAATGAGCAAAGATGGAAGAAAGCTACCATTTCCCGAGAGGGAAAACTGTTCAAATTACAGGGATAAGCAAATTGAAGGATAATATATTTGGCTAAAGGAGAATTAACCAAAAAATGCATTAAAAACAAAGACCCTGAGTGTGTGTGTGTGTGTGTGTGTGTGTGTGTGTGTGTGTGTGTGTGAGAACTAACCAAGAAAACTATAAAAAGAGCAAGATTGTTCTCTCGATTCAGTTTAGCACGAGTGTGAATTTCCCTCACTGAATCAAAATCTGCTTTGGGACCTATGAATCCACGAGGGAGAAGCAACAGTTTGTAGCCAGACATTTCTAGATTGAGCAAATTACGGGAAAAGAAGGTTCTCCTCAAAGTCAACTTGAAATCTCTGCCTACTGGATTGGGGTACCTGCATCTGTGCACATTTAAAATGTCATCTCTGTATCATGGAAAAAAGAATTAACGTCCTAGAAACTAATCTACAGCTCTACAGCATATTTATAGATGATGACCAAAAATCATTCATTGACTAAAAACAAAACAAAGAAAAAAAAAAACCCAAATATGCTGAGTACCTGCCACTTAAACCACCCCACGCAGGACAACGAGAAAAAGGGAAATCATCTGAAAAGGAAAGGGTGCTGCTCAAACTATCTCTATTTCCATTTCCTCTGCTCAGTGAAGACAGTGTCACTGGTTTATTACACACCAGGGTTCCCAGGTTTTTTAAAGAAATGGAAACTTTCCCAAAGCCTACTAAATGTCTAATAAAATTATAAATAACTTATAAATAGTAAGCATTTTGTTGCAATGGTATTTATATTGTTGATCACTATTAGTAACCACTATTAGTGAAGTAGTCATGTGGTGACTCCAATTTTGGATATTGTTTTTGTGAGAAGACATATCCAAATGGATATGGGATGCACAAAGAGCTTAATCAGATGATAAAATCGGTCAAAAAATATTAATTGATAAAACTGATATTTGCTTTGACTGAGATTATAATATCCAACCTGATATATCAACATAGTATACATTTTGTAATCATGTAAATACCTTCACTTTATGCTTCGTTAACTTTTCTCAACTGTACTGAGATTCAATATATACATAACCTCAGTACAGTGCATAGATATTCTTTTCATTTAGCCAGGCTGGGACTTAGCTCATTGGTAGAGTGCTTGTCCAGCCTGCACGTGGCCCTGAGTTCAATCCCCAGCTCTGCACAGCAAAACAGACAAGAAACTAGAGACCCAGAAGACTAGGTCAGCTTCTCAGGAGGGCAGGGCACTCCACTGGGGGATGAAGAGCCACCTTCAGGACTCCGGGCTCCTGTGGGAAGCTCTGTGTTCTGGTGTGAATACGGACTATCCCCAGTGGCTCGAGTGTTAAAGGAGTGGCCATCAGCCTGTGGCACTATTGAGAGGTGCAGGAACCTTTAGGAGCAGGGCCTAGAGAAGGAGGTGAGGTCACTGGAGGCGTGCCTAGGGAAGGGGACATTGGAACTCCAGGTCCTTCCTCTCCCCTTTGCTTCACGGCTGCCACAAGGGGAACTGGCCCCCACCAGGTGTCCCCACCGTGATGTGGCCACAGGCCCAGATCAATAGGCCAGCTCACCATGGACTGAAAGCCCTGATGTTATGAGCTAAACCAAGCTGTTCTTCCTGATGGGTTGGTTTTCTCAGATGCTCTGTCATGGCAATGAGGATCCCACTAGCTCTGCTATGTTACACCTGTCGATGCTGCTTCTCTAAGTTAAATTTCAAAGACACTTTATTAACCAAATGCCATGAAGAGTTTCTATGGAAACCTAAAATATCATGGTCATTAAGTGTTCTGTTTCTCTTTCCATATATAGAGAGATGTAGGTAAAATCTTTATATTATTTTGATATATAATTATGTATTTAGAGATGCCTTTGTGTGTTTCTCGTACTGTAGAAAGTCATATGTGTTTTCCTGATGGTTATCTGCTAGGATAACAATAAACTTCCACAAAGGAATGATATGAAAACAAGCTGAGTCTTCAAATTCATCACTGCAGTTTCCTTTGGTTTTTGGAGACAGGTGCCACTTAGTCACCCTCCTATACGGTGTGCTGGTCAGCCCAGGACCATTGGACCCAGGCCCTTGAGCCTTGCCAGAGGCCCTCAGTTCTTCACCCAGACATCCGTTGACAGAGACGGGCCTCGCGGAGGGCATTCTTATGTGATAGCAGGGTGCAGGCAGAAGCTCCTCTGTGAGTGGCACGTAGCAGATCAGTGAGAGGCTGCACCTGCAGTTGTAATGACCGAGTTCAGTCTTCGCACACTGCAAACCTGTTTGCACTCTGGGTGGAAACATGAAGTCAGATTTGGTTTCATAAATCAGTAACATTTTGATTTGACAAGATTTTATTGAAAATGTACTTAGTCCCAAATACAAGACCTTCTGATGTCCCTATAGAAGGAGACTATTATAATTTGTTGCTCTTTAGGATGAATAGGTTACCTTCTGTTACCGTCTCTGAAAAATATTTCTTTAATGAAAAACAAAACAGCAACGTTCATAAATAACACTTTTAACCAATATTGTTCATGTCAACTTCATCATCCCAACTACTTAGGATACAATGACCTTAACTTCACACTGTGCTACACCAGTTAAAAGTGGTCTCAAATAATAATAGTAATAATAGCCAATCTGTACACCAAACTAGAAAATTCTCCACTAGACAACAAATTTATGTACCTGTAAACTACCAGGAAGATATTCCTTGTGGAATGGAGTTTGAAAAGAGGAAGACCACTCGAAGATCAGCCTGTGTTTTGAGTGAGGACAAGCCATCCCTTTCCTTCAAGGAGTCATGTGATGGTTTAGATATAAGGTGTCCCCAGAAGCCCATGTGTGAGGCAATGACAATTTTCAGAGGTGAAACAATTGGGTTATAACTGGCAGAACTTAATCAGTGGATTAATCCACTAGGCAGATATGGGGTGGCTGGAGGGGTAGGTCAGTGGGGGCATGTCTTGGGTGTATATATTTTGTCCGTGGTGAGCAGAGCTCTCTCTGTTTCCTGGTGACCATATCCTGGGCTACTTCCCCTGCCAGGCCCTTCCTCCATGACGTCCTGCCTCACCTGGGGCCCAGAGCTCCGGAGTCCCTGAGGATGGACGGAGCCTCTGAAATCGTGAGCCAAACTTTTCCTCCTCACATTGTTCTTGTCAGGTCTTTTGATCACTGCAATGAAAAGGCTGACTACAACACGTCAGAAATGCTTTAGTTAAAACGATCATGATCAAGAACTACGTGAGTAGTGACAGACAGCTGAGACTGGCGCAGAGACCCACTGGAAACCGCAGCTCTCGGAACCTGAGGACGGTGTCTCACTTCCGGAACGTTCCCCCCATGGCTGGCCACACTCCGGGCACTGCTCCTTGTCCACCTTCCTGCCGCCTTTTGCCTTCATGCTATGCGGTGCCCGAGGCTCACGCTCATGACAGGTGTGTGCCACTGTCCCCAGGAGTTTTACTGGGTCATTAACTGGGTCATTCACTGGCAAGAACAAGGAGTGTCCCCATGTCGTCATCTCTCCTGTTTGTAAGAGGATGGATGATTGCAAAGGAATCTTTTAAAGCAAGAAAGTGGTCAGGGTGTGCAGAGGGAGGCCATGCTCTGCTTCCCTGTTTTCACTTGTGGGGTGAAGCTACGGAGTCGCCCAACCTGATTTCAAAGGCGAGATTCCGCAGGCACACTGCATCCAGCAGACCCAGCCTTCCCAGCCCACAGACACGAAGCGATGTCGATAACTCTGTTCTCCCTGGGAATTTCTGTTCCTCCTCTATGGATCCTTGATCCCTTGTTGTTTGTACTGGTCATCTCTAGGAGATGACGGTGTTGGTGAGTCTCTCTGGAGAGACCCTGTAGGAATAACAGTAGCCCTCCTAACATGAACACGGGCATTTTAGAGCTTTCTTCGTGCTTCCTGCGCTCTCTGCAAGCTTTAAGTCGAGTAGGACCCTGATCTTCACTGCATACAAGTAGAGCTATTTACTCTCTTTTTAATCCATGAGAAAAGTGGAGGTGGAGGGGCTACAGTAGTCGGAGCAGCATTAGCTACCAGCACAGACATCTTGATGGCTAAAGTAAGAGAAGCTCATTTCTTTCTCCTACACCCAAGTCCAGTGAGAGGGCAGCGGGTGGTCTCCCATGTAGTGGTCCAGGCCCAAGTGCCCCCCTGCTGTAACCACCACCATCTTCCACGCCAACTTGCAGGCTCCGTGCAGAGGGTGCAGGGGGCAGGCAGGGCTGCTCCTTAGTCACATCTGCCTAGAAACAACACACCATGGTCCTGTCGACTTCCATTCCCGAGAGTGAGTCACACCGCTTCGCAGAAATGCAGAGGAGTGGAAAAGTGAGTCCAAGCCCTGGAAGCCTCCGGAAGTCTCCGCAAGGAGCATCTCCACACAATGGAACGAAGCACAGATGTTTGGTAACCCAGCTGCCCGCTTCTGCCAGAGGGGCATGCTGAGAGCGCTCTGTGGTGAGAAATGGAGTTGGAATTTGGACCCACATCCACAGCCACACCTTGGCACCTTGTCCTCCTACCACCATAATTGTGAAAATGTGACTCATGGTTTACGGGCACCTCTAGTGACCTGAAGTCTTTATGACAGTCACTGGACACAGCTTAGCAAAATCAGAGTAATTTATATTTTAGGGCATTCTGCAAAGAGCCCCATTGCTTCCCGAAAATGTTCCACCAAGATAACCTTGAGAACTTCTAGGGTAGCGAAGAGTTAGGCTTCAAGATTGGAGAGATAAGTTCTCCGTACTCAAAGGTCAGAATTTTCAG